TAGGATCTTTTCTTTTTCATGGACAGTTAGACAAGGGACATTGAACCACTTAGCTAACTACTTCAGTGTGGGTTATACAGGACTCTCACCACCTGGCCATGAAGCCTGGATTCAAACTCTGGTCCTCCTTCTTAGCTGTGTAGCTCTGACAGGTTACATGACCTCTCTGGGTCTCCATTTCCTCACCTCTAAAATGAATAAGGCACCTACCTCATCAGACTGATGTGACTAGAGGAATTAATCCAGAGGATGGGCACAGAACCTGGTCTAGAAGCATTCAGTATATTTCCACTATTACTATCAGAGTTACTTCTCAAGATTTACTGTATCACCTTGGAATCTGAAGGCTTTCTTAGCAGGTTTGGTTGATCATACATGACAATTCAGATACCATCTTATTGTTTCCAGAAACCCATGCAGAATACGTCCCTTTCAGAAACTGATTTTTTCTATTATCTATTAATTCTCCCTCCGATCCAGTCTTCAATTAAGAGGCAAAATTTTACATTCTGGACTTAAAAGTTTGCATTTCAGAAAGGGCCCCTTCTAAAATCTTCCTTTTCCAAAGTCCCTGGCTATTGAACAGATGGGGAGGCACAGACCCCTCTGAGTGTTAGGCCCCAGCACACCGCTCTATGAATTGCTCCAGCCAGCTCCTGACTCCGCTAGCTACGAGTGCATCTCATTACTGTACACTTTGGTTTTTATTTGTTTCCACTGTTTCATATAAAGCTTCACAAATGCAGACAGAGGCCATTCAGGCAGGGGCACAGTCTACTTCCCTGCTTACTGTTTCCCCTTTTCACTTTATTATTTCAGAGCCTCACTGAGATGCCAGAACACATTAGATAACTTTCAAAGACCTATACTGTAATGCTCTTATAACCACTTCATCTTTTTTTGTAATGGGCTTTATTACTTAATTTATGCCTGAAATAAATGTTACAAAATACACCTCATTAGTTGTAAGTGAAACAATAGAGAATCTTGTTTTCAAAACAGGACTAGACATTCTTCCCCACCCCCATCCTTCACACATGGTTTCCAGCTACTTATATTGGCTGGTCACTTTCAACCGTCTTTTGAAAAGTAAAGAAGCAGTTATCTTTCCCTTAAGAGATGGTGGGGTATTACAGAGTTTATTGAATTAATGTTCAAAACCACCTAAGAAACCATTTTATTTGTTTACAGGATACAAGACCGTGAAACAGCCCAACCCAAAGAAGTCCAGCAGAAACAGGGCTCTGCCCACCAGGAATGGTTTACCAAGTATTTTTCTTTCTAAACAGACTCTTGGGATCCATCATGAAGATGACATTTGAAAAAACATTTCCTTTGAAATATCTGATTGAGGGAATGAACTAAAAACCACCCAACCAAATAACTTGCCTGCAGTATGATTTATCTATGATAGCCGAAACAAATTTTGGCATTAACATTTCATACTGTTTCATTGTGACACCAGTTCATTAAAAAAAAAAAGTTGACATCAAGATGAAACAAACCAGTTATTAAAAAGCACCTGTAGGGAAATGTTACTGTTATGAATGACCTACACACTGCATCCCTCCCGTCCTGAGGATTACAGCCCACTTTGTAGACTGTTACACTACGTGTTCTCCATCATCCACTTTAAAAGTGGTTTCATTCTTCCTTAGGATGTTGGTCACATCCACTTGAAAAGTGTTTCTTTGTAAATGATGTGATACCAAAATGCACATCTAACCTCAACAAGAGTAAGAAAAAAACAAAATTCCAAATAACCAGGAAAGCCAATGGAAAAAGAATCTACTAGGAATGGACTGTAGCAGACCTCAGCATACTTGGATTGATTATTTTGACTTCCTAGGTTCAGAGCATGAAGTAGATTACAGAGGGTTAACATCTACCTCAAAAGGAGCTTTGCAAAAACAAAGCAAAATATTATGGGTAATGATACCAATCCTGAATTGGCAGTTAACCACTGCCAGGATCTTTCTGTGAATAACAGCCTTATCCATCATACATCTCAGTGTCAGCAACTGTACTGTCCACTTGGTCATTTGTGAAGGTTTCTAGAGTATCTATTCTTTGAAGTCAAAGATCTCCTGAAACTGTGGTCTTTGGGGGTTGGGCCATTTGCCTCATGGTGCATTGCTTCTCCACTGCATGGACGCTCAGTAGGTCAAAGAGAACTGGACTGGCTGTTCATGGTGCTGGCCTTGCTGTCAGCCACACTGAATTGTCTGACCCCCTGATGGAGCAGTGCAATATGACAAGACACAATGCAACTTTTAGTGGACAAAGTATATTCTCAATCCTTTGGTGCTGGCCCAGCAGGTGGCCCATAAACAGTTGTTTATTCTATGCACTGTCAAGTCTTTGCTCTTTGAATAAAACTTTAAAACAACTGGGCAATAAAAATGGTTGTGACTTGTATTATTTTTCCAAAGAAAGGTGAAGTTAGACAAACAGAGAGTTTAGAATTAGGAGGTTCACATTAACCTCAATCAGATCTTCAAATAAACAACAACTTATATACTTAGGTCATTTTGACAGAAATGCAATTACAACTCACTCAACTCGGTTTAAAGGTAAGTTTACTATCTAGTCAAAACACACGGCCCCAAGAAATTTCTAAATGCAAATACTTGTTACCATACATGTAACATGCCATATTATTTTTCAGTATAAAAATTTTTTTTCGTTTGCTTCTTGCCTAGGGTAAGTGTTGTAGGATTATATTGGTATTTTTTATTTTAAAAACTACGTATAGTTTCACTTCGGTTTGTGAGACATTTTCCCAACCCTGGGCAACTCCTGATGACTAGCAAAGTAGGCTGCACTTCCTATGACTGCCTTTAACTCTGCACCTGCTGCAGGGACAGAATTATATTACTTTTGAGACCCTCCACTGTTTTGACTCCTTTCTTATTGAGGTTAGTGAACAAATTCTACCCTGCATTGATTTTTTTAATAGCATTTTTTTTGGTATCATTAATCTACAATTACATGAAGAACATTATGTTTACTAGGCTCCCCTCTTCACCAAGTCCCCCCCACATACCCCTTCACAGTCACTGTCCATCAGTGTAGTAAGATACTGTAAAATCACTACTTATCTTCTCTGTGTTGATTTTATCTTGTTAACTAAATCTTTACATGCTTCTATCATTTTTTTCTTTAGGACACACTTCATGACTACTGCAGTGAAGTATTCAGGGATACACAGGTAAGCTTTTTGTTTGAAACAACCAAACTACCATCTAGAAAGTTTCTAGCAATTTATGCCTTCACCTGCAGTGAATGAAATCCTACCTCTCTGTACCCTAGATAAGACTGACAAATTATTTGATATCTAAAACATTCTTCTTGTTCTCCTTCACATAATCTGATTTCATCAATCTGTCAAGAGCAGAGTGGTCTAGAAAGGATGGTGACAGCTTGGAGGGAGCAACAAGATTTGATGATCTCTCTCTTGAGGCTGTATTATGGCAGAAAGCGGAAGTGTTAACATATTCCTGGAGCAAAACTGGAGAGGAACATTCCTGAAAAGTGTTTCTTAATTATGGTGGAATGAATTTGCCCAATTGATGGCTGTGTATCAGATACCCAAGCCCTTCCGTATTAACTGCTTCAGCATTGAACATCTATCACAGTAGTTGCGACTGAGGCTACTTGGTCTATATCCATGTCCAGGATCCATCTGGATTCTGCAAGGGCCAAGCTGACCAATTAAATGGAGCTACGACAGGGGCCACCATGCTGCATCCTTTGCCTTCATACAGTAGCACCGTCTCCACCACCACAGGGTGCAATATTATTTTTGACCTATTATTACCTCCTAGTAGCCCCTCAGCTGCCCGCTGACCCCTGCAGGTGGTAAAGCCAGATGCCCACACACTCGTAATGGCCTGGGATGATTTGCTAAGTACTGTTAATTTGTCGTTATCCCTCTGGGGGGGCCAGGCAGCGCAGTGGTAACCGCCAACCCCACCATTTGTGTATACTCTATCGCCCCGACCTCCTGAATGTTTGTCCTCCACTGACAACATTGCCGTCCACTGGGACATGGGCCTGAGCACCACCGGTGAACCTTGAGCAGCTGGGCCGCTGGGGACTGTGTGACCTCACGTACCACTCAGGGTGAGTTTTCCTTGCCAAGTGGTCAGTGAGGCGGTCCTCAAACCCCGTCCTACTGCTTGTACTGCTTGCTCCCTCTGATCCTGCCCACTGACAGCCATGTCAGTTGGGTACTCCAGGAGGCACACCCCAAGACACGATTGGGGGGCAAGAAATGTACTGGGCCCCTTGGGGCCCTTCAGCCACAGACCACCAGGATACAGGGATTTACTTGGGATTGGATGCTGTCAAGCAGGTGGGGACAATTCTCTAACTGGGTACCTCAGTATATCTTATCTATAGGGAGGGAAGATGAGAGTGAAGATAAAGTTGGAAATGGTTTAAAAAGAAAAAGCAGTCACTCATTTTAGCCAGAATGTTTGGTGACACCGTGACCTTTTTTTTCTCCCATGATGAAGTGGCTTTGTCTGGTCTTACTTTGTGAATCATGGTCTCAGAGCTGCTTTATCAAAGGCCAGAATTCTGAGATTGCTTATGTCCAACAGGAGGATAACGGCCTAGAAGTGCTGGCTCGGCATCTGGATGTCAGGGACAGATTTCTCTCCCCTTTCTCAGGGGAGACAACTGTGGAAGATAAAGGGGAGAGAAAGCAGAAGTCAGAGCCTTCAGACCTGGTGCAGGGTAGACATGTGTGAATGGAGGCCAAGGAAGATACGGGCCAAGGAGGCATGGAGAGCAGCAGCTTGGAGAAGTCCCAGCCAGGCCAACAGGCGCTCCCAAGAGTACCCGCAGCAGAGCCCTGCTGGGCAGGAGAGCACGGCACACCTGGCTCAGGCGCCCCCCACGCCCGAGGGTGGGGAAGCACAGCCTTCACGGGCGTGCTGCAGCACATCCCGAGGCGCAGCTCTGGCACTGCATGCCCACAGCGGCTCTCAAAGGGAGAGCTGAGCAGTGCTCCTCCCTGGCCTCCAGGGGCCCAGGACCAAACCCTCAGGAACGTCAGCATTTGGAGGCTGGGTGAAGAGGAGAGGGAGGGGAAGATGCATTAAAGAGAATGAATTCAAGTCAGGAAAATGGAGAAGTATCCATTCAATTTGGCGACAGCAAAGCATCCGGTAACCGTGGCAATCACAGCTGTGGCAGCATGGGAGGGACGGCTGGCGCAGGAGGGAGGGAGAGCAGCAGGGACCCGAGGCTGAATAAGGGGCAGGGTAACAGGACAGCAGGCAGCCTGTCATCCAGGGAATGCTGGAGACAGGACGTAAGGACTCTTGGGAGCTGCCTGGACTGACCCAGCAGATGGGTGGCGTGGGTGCACAGACCTGCCATGGAGGTAGGCCCTACGGAAGGCAGCTGGCCTGGGGCCCCAAACACCCACGGAAAGGCTGGTCTTAAGCAGGGTAGGCACTTCAGCAGACAGAACAGGAAGGAAGAAAGGACGCCCTGCAGATGAGGGCAGGCTTGTCATTCCGGGAAGGGGAAGGTATCAGAAATCCCAGCTGATGGAGACAGCAGCTCAGAGGGTTTTCTATGCTCATCAACCAGCACGATGTCATTAAAAGGAAAAAGACATTTACAGACCAGATTTAAAAACTGTTATTTGACAGAAAAATCTTAAATAAAGAAAAACTAGTACTACACTAAATCAAAATACTTTCACTAAGCATATCAGTGTTCTAAGGACAATTCCCAATCTTTCACAAAGAACCACTGTATTACTGGAAGAGTGCCTAAAATTTATTTTACTTAGGTTTTTAATCAAGAACTCTAAAGCTGCTAATCAGCTTCTAATTAGCATGAGACGACCAGGTTAACGACTTTGAAGTCATATAATTTAAGTAAAAACAACTTTTAAAAGCTCTCTTTAACCTACACATTCTGACTGAGGGGACTCGCTGGCCCCGGGCTATGTATCCCAAAGACACATACATAAACAAAACTGAGTAAGAAGTATTATGTATAAAAGATAAATACCATGCAGCACCTATATATTCAGAGAATAAAGCTTAATTCTCCTGAGAGGCACAGAGACAGATATAAATCACTAAATCCCAAGGGAGAACCAAGCAAGGCCAGCAGAAGGACCAGGAAGTCCTGTGTCCTGGGGGCTCGGCAGGGGCTTCAGAGAGGGACTGCTAGTGTGCATGGGAGGGACCTTCAAGGCTGGAGAAACAGAGTCAACACCCCAAGTCACACAAGTCCTGCCTGTTCAGAAAACAGTGGTGCATTTGTTTTGAGTAAGGGATGTAATCTAATAAAAGACTGTAAACAACAGAGAAAGGAAAACCTCATCCAAGAAAAGCCAGACACAATGCCGGTCTGTATTTCCAAATAACAGCAGTTCCATGGAGAATCCTGTTGGCCTGTGAAACCAGCAAGGGGGCGAAACATCTCCCCAAACACTGAGGCTCCACGTGATTTGTGGACCAGGTTGCCAAGGGTCACCCTCCAGCCCATCACCTGCCCCACGGCCCCACTCCTGTGGCGTCAATACCATCCCTTGGCAACAACCTTCCTTACTGGGAAGGTCTGCTCACAAAAACCCCCACAAAACAAAAATGACACAAGGAAACAAAGCTCAAAACTACAAAAGATCACAGCAAGCTTTACCCCCTTGTACTTCACCAATGTCCCCCTACTGTCACG